CCAGATCTTCCCCTTCTATTTGCCAGGAGGTGATGGGGCCAGTGGCCATGATCTTAGTTTTTTTTATGTTGAGCTTCAGACCATTTTTGGCCCTCTCCTCTTTCACCCTCATTAAGAGGTTCTTTAATTCCTTCTCACTTTCTGCCAACAGAGTGGTATCATCTGCATATGGGACGTTGTTGATATTTTTTCCGGCAATCTGAATTTTGGCTTGGGATTCATCTAGTCCAGCCTTTTGCATGAGGTATTCTGCATACAAGTTAAAAAAAGCAGGGAAACAATATACAGCCTTGTTGTACTCCCTTCCCAATTTAGAACCAATCAGTAGTACCATATCCAGGTCTAACTGTTGCTTCCTGTCCCACATATAGATTTCTCAGGAGACAGGCTTTTGTGTATTCAATGAAGCAGAAGTAGATGTTTTTCTGGAACTCTTTGGCTTTCTCCATAATCAACACGTTAGCAATTTAATCTCCAGTTCCTCTGCCCCTTTGAAATCCAGTTTGTACATCTGGGAGTTCTCGGTCCAAATACTGCTGAAGCCTACCTTTTGAGCTGTTTTGATCATAACCTTGCTAGCATGTGAAATGAGTACAATTGTATGGTAGTTGGAGCATTCTTTGGCACTGCCCTTCATTGGAACTGGGATGTAGACCTGGGATTGGGATCTTTTCCAATCCTCTGGCCACTGTTGTGTTTTCCAAACTTGCTGGCATATTAAGTGTAGCACCTTAACAGCATCATCTTTTAAGATTTTAAATATTTCAACTGGAATGCCATCACCTCCACTGGCCTTGTTCTTAGCCATGCTTTCTAAGGCCCACGACTTCACTCTCCAGGATGTCTGGCTCAAGGTCAGCAACCATACTATCCAAATTGTCTGGGACATCCAGATCTTTCTGGTACAATTCCTCTGTGTATTCTTGCCTCCTCTTCTTGATGTCTTCTGCTTCTGTTAAGTCCCTACCATTTTTGTCCTTTATCATGTCCATCTTTACACAAAATGTTCCTTTAATATCTCCAATTTCCTTGAACAGACTTCTGGTTTTTCTCTTTCTATTATTTTCCTCTATATCTTTGCACTGTTCGTTTAAGAAGGCCCTCTTGTCTCTCATTGCTATTCTTTGGAAGTCTGCATTTGATTTTCTGTAACTTTCCTTATTTCCCTTGCGTTTTGTTTCCCTTCACTTCTCTGCTATTTGTAAAGTCTTGTTGGACAACAACTTTGCTTCCTTGCATTTCCTTTCTTTGGGATGGTTTTTATTGTCGCTTCCTATACAGTGTTACTGGCCTCCATCCATAGTTCTTCAGGCACTCTGTCCACCAAATTGAGTTCTTTAAATCTGTTCTTCACTACCACTGTGTATTCATAAGGGATTTGGTTTAGATTATACCTGATTAGCCCAGTGGATTTTCCTACTTTCTTCAGTTTAAGCTTAAGTTTTGCTATGAGAAGCTGATGATCAGAGGCACAATCAGCTCCAGGTCTTCTTTTTGTTGACTGTATACAGCTTCTCCATCTTTGGCAGCAGAGAACATAATCAATCTGATTTCAGTATTGTCCATATGGTGATGTCCAAGTGTAAAGTCGCTTCTTGTATTGTTGGAAAAGAGTGTTCTCTTGACAAATCTCTATTAGCCTTTGCCCTGCTCTGTTTTGAAGTCCAAGGCCAAACTTACCTGTTGTTCCTTTTATCTCTTGACTCCCTACTTTAGCATTCTAGTCCCCTATAATGAGAAGAACATCTTTCTTTGGTGTCAGTTCTAGAAAGTGTTGTAAATCTTCATACAATTGGTCAATTTCAGCCTCTTCAGCATCGGTAGTGGGTGCATAAACTTGGAAAATCTACTCACAGCTAAATGCACAGAGGACTGTTGTGGGTTTTCCTGGCTGTTTGGCAATGTTCTTCATGTTTTTCTTCCTAAAGTTTTGCCAGTCTCTGTGGATGGGATCTACCAAGGGACAGAGTCCAGAACAGAACTGTCCTCTGAAGATGCCAGCCACAGAGACTGGTGAAACGTTAGGAAGAAAAACTTTAAGGACACGGCCAAACAGCCTGGAAAACCCACAACAACCATTGGATCCCGGCCATGAAAGCTTTCGAGAATATATACAGAGGATTGTAGTCTGGGTTTCCTAAAGTTTATTCCTAGGATTCCTCCCCCCTCCCCCAACCCAAGGATGCATTTATTTCTACATGTGTTACATAGCTAGCCATCTTCAGTCAGTTTTTTTTTCCCTTTGCAAAAGTGCCCTGGTGATTAACCTGTTTGTCTATTCTTAAAAGGGAATTTGAGAAGCATGGCTCCATTGCCTAAGAATGTACTCCTTGCCAGTTAAAGAGAAAAGCAGAGATTATGCAATTTTCACTGCAAAGTACCACTCTAGGGTTAATCACTTGTCAGCTCATCTCTGAGCATTGTTGCAAGGATAGATATTAGCTGGATTCAGATTTAGTAGTCTATATTGCTCTCCAATTTAACTACACACATAAATATCAGATCCTGGGGGTTTACTGCAGTGTAATGAGCCTTAGATCAAGGTTGGAATGCACTTGCAAGGTCAGGTCTTCTTAATAGCATCCCATCAGACTTCAAAATAATTTTAGCCAGGCAAAAAAAAAGGCCATTTAAAATTCTGAACATGAGATAAATCTGATGGAAATAAGGAAGATGCTTTATCAGCTCTTAGTAAAGAACAGAGCAAAATAAGTGTCCATGACTAAAGAGGGGTCTGACTGGAAAAAACTAAACTAACATAATTCATAATCTCATTGCATATAGGAACATTTCCAAAAAATTTTATACAGGCAACTGGGGTGGAAGATGAGTAGGGGGAGAAGAGTAGGGGGAGAGATTAAATTTCTGAACATTTTTCCAGAAACCCTTTTATTGTAAGACACATACACTCGTAATAATTTTCCTACAAGCATCCTGAAAATCAAAATGTGTTCCTTCATGCTTTCCCTAGATTATCATTCTAATGGAAGAGGAACTAAAACTACCCTCAAATACTGCACCAGAAGGCACACATGGTGTTTTTTTTTATAGGTACATAAACTATAGAAGATGCCAAGTACCATCTATTTGTGAACCGGGATGGAATAATAGTCTTTTCTGCAGAAATGTAAGCTCCTTTAACTGTGATGTGTTGGGTCAAAATCAATTCTCAACAGGAATACAGGCACAAAGAAAATATAATTATGCTGCATTACTATGTATAACATTCCTTGCAAACCCGCCCCCTCCCCCAGTGTTCTTGTGCTATTTGCAAACCCTATTCCTCGGGGAGGCGGGGGCTACCAGCACCTCAGGGCAAACATACAACATGTTTTTTGCAGGTAACCATTTAGACCAAAATGAAAGGAAGAGGAACAAAGTAAGTGTTGGATGTGATCAGAGTCCTGCTGGATCCCCAGGTCTAACTGCTTATTTGCTAGTAAGGTGATACAACTAATAACTATGCACATGGATGATCTTTTCCAAATGAAACACTAGCCCCAGAAGCCTCCTGCAACAGACCTATGCGTATATATTGTAAAACAGATCTATAAATTATCTATTCATAACCAAAGCTGTTCTTAGAACATGCAACACAACCCACTCTCTCTTTCTGTACTTGGTTCATTATTATTATACAAGGAGGAAAGAAACAAGCATCCTCAATACCTTTCAGAATCCTAATGTCACTGTAAGGCTGACTTTAGCCTTTAATGTCATATGTAAAGCTATGTAATCAAAAGGTCAAATTACTGCAAGACTTTCCTGTTGTAAAGCCATTTAATTCCTACATGTGACTACTGGGCATAAGGGAATTAACAGGTTTACTCTAAAACAGTGGGGTCCTTGGTTCCTTTTTCTTTCTTATTTTAATCATCTTCATTACCTGCCTTCCTGAAGGTGAAAGCATTCAAGGGCTGGGTGCTCTGGTTACAAAGTTGTCATCTTATTAAGTTAAACATAGCCATGTACTGGTGGAAGCCAAACTGCCTTGAGTTTGCATCGGGGAAACTAAAGTCAGTAAATCAAAGCCCGGAGATGAAGAGATTGACTGACTGCTGCCTGGTACAAATCACACAGAGGAGCTGTCACTTCCTAAAGCAGAGGTCAGATGCTAGGATCTCTCTTTACATAATGGGAAGGGGGGAATGTTCCTGTGATGTCTTTAAATCAATGCACTCTGTATGAAATAGACACAACTTTACCCTGCTCCATTTGTGAGCGCTTCTGCCAGCCTAACGGGAATATTCTGAAGTATTTTAGGCATCTCCAGAGTATAGTTTTATGCAAGATACATTATGTCCCACTTACCAAAAAAAAGGGTTCTCAGAACACAATGGCTTCACTTGCAGCAATACCTTTGAAACTCACAAAGATGCAATAATTTTGTAGGTCAGCACTGCCCTTAGTTTCAAACTATAAATACAGAATAAACTCATACCAGAGTTGTATCATATTAAAATGCATAAATGCCTATGTGCACTGTTAGCCTTTAAACATGTAACTGAAAGGCTGTTTGTAGATTTACAATTCTCTCTGCAGGTTCTGCACACTTTGAAAAAGCCAAGCTTCCTCCACATTTGATTCTATGAATAGCAGTAAAATGAATATTTATTGCATTAAAAAAAGACTGCTTCACACAAAAAACATTACTGTTCTGACTTTGAAAGAGAGGGCATTGCTAAACCAGAACAATACAGTAAAAAAAAATTTTTTAAAAAATCTATTACAGGTTTGCTTCTGACCTTAACAGTATTCTCAAGAAGCATGTTTTCCCTCCTCTCAGTATATTCTGTAGAACTGCATTACCTTCTCACAGACCCAAGGATAGGAACTACAATCTAATGCATCACTCATCCTTCCAAATCTCCACACCATTTTCCATGGGCTTCTGCCTCCGCGGGATGCAAAGTGCCAAATAAACAGTCTCAAAATAGAAAAGGGGGATGCGCTCCTTTAAAAAAAAAACACACAAGCATGCTTCGGATGCAGCTACTTACTTGGCTAAGATATCATCCCAAATCCAAAATTATTTCAATTACACAGCGGAGTAATCACTGTTCGGCATCTGTTAAAGGATTGATAAACTGAGCTACATTACAAGAGTCCCTCTGCAGACTGTACCATCCGGAGCGAGCAGGTGGGGGGGAAGGAGCGGATATTTCCCACCGAGCATCTTGCTGAAGGAGAGAGAGAGAGAGCAAGCCCAGGGAATGTTTATGGCTTGCCGTTGCAGGCAGCCGGAGGAAGTGGAGGAGGCGGAGGAAGGCAAACAGCGGCAGCGGCGGCGGCGGCGGCGGCACGGGAGGGAAGGCTTTGGCTGGCGAAGGAGAGAATGGATTGAACCACCATGTTGTTGTTTGTGGGTTTAATACTTCCCTTGGGATAATGACAAAAACGGAAGATGGCAAACTACCAGGAATATGCCACTTATGGGAGAAACCTTCAAGGACAAGGACTGTCAAGTTCTATCACTATCATTGGAGGGCC